TACAGAGGGAGTATATGGCAGGTGACTGTATATCTAAAAAATTGTAGTCATTTTTTTTGCTTATTCGTCGTTATTCATGCTATATCAAGTTGGGGGGTGCTGCAGTGTCGAGCGAAGATGAATCCTGACTGAGCCGGAGGCAGCGATGGCAAGCTTAGGCTGAGTCGGATGCAGCGATGGCAAGCAACGAAGATGACGATCGACATGACGGGGGCGGTGGCTGCTGAAGGGAGATGGACTGATGGTTTAAAATCCAACAGCCGGTCACAATCGGATGTGACTTGGAAGATTTGCAGGCTCTTGTGTCGAAGATGATCTTATATTATTATTTTCGTATGTGAATAATATTAGGGGCTTATTTTGACATTTCCTTTTGGACCTAAGCATTCCTTTGGCAAGACCTTTTTCAGGCTTGGCTCTAAGAAACCTGGCCCTAAATTTTCAATGCTGGACCAATTCGACCCAAAAAATGCAAGCAATGATATTTTCCTATTTAAACTTATAAATTTAATTATTTCCAAAATATGTAGATATAGTATTATTACATATCAAGTTTTTTTTAGTTTTTTAGAATTATGTTTCTTTTCATTAAACACCTATACTTTAGTTTTTTGAACAAAAAACTAGAGTCGGAGGGGCTTCGGTCTTGGGCTATCGCTGCTTGCTGCCAATTCCCAGATCTAGTGCTCCTTCCTATTGCTCTCCCCTCTGGTCTGCATTTTTTGCGAGTTTGAGATGTGAAGGACTTTGTAATGTTCACACATGATAAGTGTTTTTTAAGGATATGATAAGTGTTTGTGAGGGAGTCCTGGATTAAGGGGTCCTCGGACAGCCGAACTATATACGCGTGCCGGACTATTGGGCTATGAAGATACAATAGAAAACTTCTTCCCGTGTCCGGATGGGACTCTCCTTTGCGTGGATGGCAAGCTTGGCGATTCGGATATGTAGATTCCTTTCTCTATAACCGACTTTGTGTAACCCTAGCCCCCTCCGGTGTCTATATAAACCGGAGGGTTTAGTCCGTAGGACGAAGATACAACAATCATAATCATAGGCTAGCTTCTAGGGTTTAGCCATTACGATCTCGTGGTAGATCAACTCTTGTAATACTCATATTCATCAAGATCAATCAAGCAGAAGTAGGGTATTACCTCCATAGAGAGGGCCTGAACCTGGATAAACATTGTGTCCCCGCCTCCTGTTACCATTAGCCTTAGACGCGCTGTTCGGGACCCCCTACCCGAGATCTGGCGGTTTTGACATCGACATTGGTGTTTTCATTGAGAGTTCCACTACGTCATCACCAGAAGGCTTGATGGCTCCATCAATCATCTACAACAACGTAGTCTAGGGGGAGATCTTCCTTCCCGGACAGACCTTCGTATTCGGCGGCTTCGGACTACGGGCCAACTCGCTTGGCCATCTGGAGCAGATCGACAGCTACACCCCTGGCCATCAGGTCAGATTTGGAAGCCTAAATTTTGTAGCCGATATCCGTGGAGACTTGATCTTCGACGGATTCGAGCCCATGACAGCTATCCCCTTCCACCACGATGAACAAGACCTAAATCTGTCATCTGGCCACGCTCAGTAGATAGCGCATGTAACCGCTCTGGCCCTAGATCCAGAGTAGACCGCGTCATCCGAAGACGGGAAGCTTAACCCCGCCACGGAAGCCGCAGACTCAACGGTGCTCGAGCCGCACACAGACCCAACATCAAGCTGGGCTTGTGTCACTGGAACCTCGGACTCGTCTCCGGCCATAGGTTCCGGACCGCAGGCATCCGCCTCCATCAAACCTAATTGGGCGCCAATCTTGGAGTTCAGCTCCGCAGACATCTTCCAGCACTCACCTCTAGGTGATGTGCTAAACTCATTGAAATCTCTCTCCTTGTCAGGAGACTCTCGGCCGAACTATGTCCGGCTCGAGTGGGAAGCGGACGACGAAGAATTTCGTTACCCACCCACCACCCAGTTGATAGCCACTGTCGACGACTTAACTGACATGCTTGATTTCAACTCCGAAGACATCAACGGTATGGACGATGATGTCGGAGAGGATCAGGAACCACCGCCTACGGGGCGTTGGACAACCACCTCCTCATACGACATATACATGGTGGATACGCCCAAAGAAAACAATGGTGACAATGAAAATCCAGACGAGGATAAACCTCCTGAGATACAGCCAAAGCACCGACGTCAGCGGCGCTGCTCTAAGCCACGCCGTAGTAAAAACAGCAACACCATCACAGGAGAAAACAACACTCCGGACGATGCCGAAGATAATGAAGACCCCTTCGAGCCAACCTCCAAACAGGACGAACGGGGAAATGGGCAAGCTAGCCCTGTTGAACAGGCCACGAACAAAGACGCGGAGGACAGTAATTACCTTCTGCCCTCCGAGGACGATGTGAGCCTCGGCGACGAAGACTTTATCGTGCCTGAGGAGCCCGCCGAGTAGGAGCACTTTAAGCGCCGCCTAATAGCCACTTCAAGGAGCCTGAGACAGAAGCAGCAGCAGCTTTAAGCTGATCAAGATCTGCTCAATGAAAAATGGACTGATGTCCTGGCAGCCGAGGAATATGGCCTCAAGCGCCCAACCAAAAGCTACCCGAAGCGCAAACTATTACCATAGTTCGATGACGAGGCAGCGGAGCCCGCCCTACCAAGGCGTAATGCGGTTGACCGACCAACACGTGGCTGAGACAAAGCGGCACCTCGAGCCGAACACCAGCCCGCACTACCTCGCCGTAAAAATGGGAATACAACAGCTCGGGGATACACACATGACCTGCGATGCGACCTGGAAAACAGAGCAGGTCAGACAAGATCAATCTATGGATCACGGGGGCGTGCCCCGATGCGCGACGATGGTTATCCGGCTGAAGGCGACAAACATAACCACGCCCGGGCTGAAAACCGCAGACGGACTCCATCCGAGCTACGTCACGACTTGGCCTGATATAAAGGCGCCGCACACCCCCTTTGCTTCACCGATGAAGTAATGGGACATGAATTCCCAGAAGGGTTTAAACCCGTGAACATCGAATCATATGATGGCTCAACAAACCCCGCGGTATGGATTGAGGATTTTCTTCTCCATATTCACATGGCCCGCGGTGATGATCTTCATGCCATCAAATACCTCCCACTCAAACTCAAGGGACCAGCCAGGTACTGGTTGAACAGCCTGCCCAAAAACTCCATCGACAGCTGGGAGGATTTGGAGGATGCCTTCCTCGAAAACTTTCAAGGCACATATGTCCGACCTCCGGATGCCGACGACTTAAGTCACATAATTCAGCAGCCCGGAGAGTCAGCCAGGAAATTCTGGACTAGGTTCTTAACTAAAAAGAACCAGATCATCAACTGTCCGAACGTTGAAGCCTTAGCGGCCTTTAAACATAGCATCCATGACGAGTGGCTCGCCCGACACCTCGGCCA